AAGGAGGCCACACCCACAGAGTAGGTTTGAACAATTTTTGAAACCCACCACTGATGTAAACATGCTGCTTACAAATTGTGTATAAATCAAAGTTGATTAAGTTTGTTTACTATTTAAGATTTCTGATCCACCAGGCCATGTTCCCTGGCAACTCTAAGTATGGTACATGCTTTTTATTCACACGAAGTGAGGAATTGCTTTTTTTGCTTCCTTTAAGTTCGGAACTGGCAAGGGATCATCCCAGCAGCTGCATTGCCGTTTTACATCACAGGACATTAGAATAGGAATAGGAATAGAATAGAATAGAATACTGAAGACTCTGTCAAAAGGGCCCTACGCAACCTAAAACCATCTCTATCTGTTGGCCCTGATGGATTAGTGCATACTTCCTGAAAAAGCTTCCTACTGCCATAGTCGAACCTCTAAGCACTATCTATGAAGTATCTTTTACAACCAGCTCCTGGCCTTACCTATGGTCAGTAGCAACATTCATTCCTATCTTCAAAAAAGGAGACCACAGCCTAGTTGAGAATTACTGACCAATCTCCCTTTGCTGTGTCTCCTATAAAGTCATGGAATCCATCATAAACCAATCCATCACCCTCCACTTATAGAGACAAATAACCTACTCTCTAACAAGCAATTTGGCTTTAGAAAAAATGTGTCTTGTAATTTGCAGCATCTATACTACAAAAACATTTGGAGCACACAACTCCACCAGGGTAAAGCAATAGATGCAATCTACATAGACTTCTGCAAAGCCTTTGATTCAGTGGTACATGACAAACCTCTGTTAAAACTAAGCTCCTATGGCATTTCTGGATCTTTGCACAAATGGATAGCTGTGTTCCTATCAAACAGGCAACAAGTAATCAAAATTGGAAGCGTAATATCAAACTCTGCACCAGTTAACTGTGGTGTTCCTCAAGGGAGTGTATTAGGACCCACACTCTTCTTTCTGCTTTACATAAATGACCTCTGCAATCATATTATAAGCAGCTGTGTCCTCTTTGTCAACAACGTAAAACTATTTAACATCACAGGCCATACTACCAGCTTGACTATGTATCTGAATGGTCAAACAATTGGCAACTCCAAATCTCTGCTAACAAATGCTCTGTCCTACACACTGGCAACAAAAACCAGAACACCAAATACAAGCTGGGCGGATATGACTTAATAGATGAACCACACTCTGTTAAGAACCTAAGAGTACTCATCTCAAAAGATCTAAGCCCCAGAGCTCATTGAAACAACATTGCCAAAAAGGCATTAAGAGTTGCCAACCTTATTTTACGAAGTTTTTTCTCTGGTAACACTATACTGCTAAGTAGGGAATACAAAACCTTTGCTAAATCAATCCTTGAATATTGCTCACCTGCCTGGAATCCACACTGTATATTGGACATTAATACAATAGAGGGGGTCCAGAGATATTTCACAAGAAGAGTACTTAACTCATCTGCTCGCAGTAAAATACCTTATGCCAACAGGCTTGAAATTTTAGGCCTGGACAATCTCGAACTACGCCTCCTACATTCCGACCTGAGCATAGTACACAAAACTATCTGCTATAACATCCTACCTGTAAATGACTACTTCAACTTCAACCGCAGTAATACACGGGCAAACAATTAATACAAACTCAAAGTAAACTACTCCAAAGTCCTAACTTGATTGCAGAAAATACGAATTCAGCAATAGAATGGCCAATGCCTGGAACACTCTACCTGATTCCATTGTTAGTTCCTCAAACTCACATATATTTGACCTTAAACAGTCCATTGTGGACCTCTCACATTTCCTAAGGTCTCTAACGGGGGCATGCATAAGCGCACTAGTGTGCCTACTGTTCCTGTCCTACTGTCCCCACTGATATGTACTCATTTTATGTGTTCATGGTTAAGTTATACTTATTTGTATCCATCTATTTGTACCAATCTCATGCAAAAATGCCCATGTCTATACTAATACCAGTTACCTTGCATATGTTGATAAATAAATAAGTAAAAATAAAGAATATAATAAAATAGAGTAGAATAAAGCTGGAAGGAACCTTGGAGATCTTCTAGTCCAACCCCCTGCTTAAGCAGGAAACCTTATACTTAAGCAGG